TTAACGATTACTTTTACTCTGTTTTTGAGAAGTCTAACGAATTACCTTTTGAATCTGACAATATTGAGCTACCGCCTCTTGACCCTATCATTGATATGCACTCTATAGAAATAGACACCGACATTGTTTTTAATTATCTGAAATCAATTGATATAAACAAGGGAGCAGGTCCTGATGGTATCCCCCCGTTATTTATAAAAAAATGTTCTTCAACTCTTACGTTACCAATCACTATTTAATTTACAAAATCCTTGAGGGAAGGTTGTATGCCGGAGATCTGGAAACAGGCTTGGGTTACTCCAGTTCCTAAAGGTAAAGTCAGTTCAGACATTGAAAAATATAGACCTATTTCTAAATTATGTCATTTCGGAAAAATACTTGAAAAAATTGTTACTGACCAACTATCTAGGGTGGTTCGCCGTCATGTGTCTTGTTGTCAACATGGCTTTTACAAGGGTCGTTCTGTAGAAACTAATTTACTTAATTTCACCGAAGTTGTACTAGAAGCTATGAATGACGGGTTCCAGGTAGATGCCGTGTATGCCGATTTTGCCAAAGCGTTCGACAAAATTTGTCATAGTACCTTGTTAAAAAAGCTCTGGCGACTTGGTATACATGGTGATCTATTCCGATGGGTAAAGTCTTACATAAAGAAAAGAAAACAGGCTGTTGTAATCTCTGGATATTGCTCGGAATTCAAATATATTCATTCTGGCGTCCCCCAAGGCTCCCATTTGGGACCATTATTGTTTATATTATATGTAAATGATATAACTAATAGCATTCTACATTCAGGTGTTTTACTTTACGCAGATGATACTAAAATATTTAGAATTATTCGTGACGCCAATGATTGTACACTGCTACAACACGATCTTTTTAAATTTGAACATTATTGCAATACAAATAATCTATTTCTTAACCTTGAAAAATGTCATATTATTAGTTTTACAAGAAAAAAGAAAATTATTAACTTTAAATATACTTTGGCAAATACAGCATTACAACGAGTATACCAAATCCGCGACCTAGGTGTCTTAATGGATTGTAAACTAACTTTCTTACCGCACCTAGATTCAATTATAAACAAATCTTACAAACAGCTTGGCTTTATTCTCCGCGTTAGTAAACCTTTCAAAAAAGATTTTACATTTAAAACACTTTTTAATTGTTTTGTCCGTAGTCGATTAGAGTATGCTTGCGCAGTGTGAAAACCATACTGTAGGAAACATATCGATAGAATCGAAAGGGTTCAGAAAAAATTCATTAAATCAGTAAACTATCGCAATAGGCTAGTTGACTCATGTCGAATTGTATTAAATAAATGTTTATTTCTTACAGTATTTGGTCTAAGGAACCTAAATATATCGAGTTCACTTCATAAAAGCAGAAGATTGCTGTAGAAATTTAATTTTAAAAAATATTTTTTAGTCTATATTTTTTAAACACTAAAAACCTGTTCGCCACATCCGCCATGATTGTGACGTCTCTTTCAGTAAACAATTAAATGTCATTCGCGTGTTATTGTGGGTGGATTCTTTAGTCTGAATAAATTTATCTTAAAACACTTTTAACTTTAGAAACGTTTCCGTTTACTGGTTTTTTTTGACCAAAGTAATTAATTATGGATGCCGACTTTGTGAAAGTAGAAAGCTGCCAAGAATTGACGCATTGATGGTTGGTGAATTTTTTGCACTAAACCCTGATTTCTGCTCTGCGGAGCAGAGAAACGACAAGGCATCTATGTAAGTACAGTGCATTTATTATTACAATGTAGTAATAAACATAAAACTGATACAACATATGAATAAGTGTAATAAAGTTGCGTAGGTTAATTTCTTTCGGCACTTTAATCCACAACATTCCTGGAGTCTTCAAGGATGTGTTTTTATATTCTCGTACAATACAATAATGATAATTACTTTATTTTTCGTGGTATTTCTTCAAGAACATGATTTCTAATCATGTTTTTTTTTTATTATAAACTCAGATAAGTTATTTTCTACGTGCTTACGAGTTTTTGTTTACTACAGTTGACATCATAGCATAGACAATCTATAGACTAAAATGGCCGACAGCGTTTTTGTATGTCCATGAAAATTCTATTTCAAAATTAAAGATTTGTAGCTTTCTAGGTCTCAAAAAAATACAATACATTTTTTTTCGGTCTGCTAGAACATTAATTAACCATTTACAACCTTTTTCCAAAAAGGGTCAACTAGCCTATTGTTACGTTCAACCAAGTTATACACAGTCACTATCTCACTATCATATTCCGACTCTCGAAGAGCGTCGAAACTGTGTCGACGCACTTTTATTATATAAGATACTAAATAACTTTATTGATGCTCCTTATTTACTTAGTAAAATAAATCTAAGAGTACCTCGCAGACTCGAACGCAATTGTCGTGATAAAAAATTATTTTATATTCCATTTAATAGAACATGTTACGTTAAAAATATGTTTACAAGACGTGCATGTATAACGTTTGACCAAAATGAAAAACTTACCACTATTGATATATTTAACACATCAATAGGCAAAATCAAGAACGCCTTTAAATTATACACTGTTTGATTATGTATGTAGATTAGAATTTAATACTCACACATGTAACGCAAATAGGCTTTTCATCACATTTACTTAAAGTTCTTTAGTTTAAATTGATTAGCGCTAATTTGTTTACTTTAAAAGGTTTTGTTAACAATTTCGTCGCTGTGTGGCGGGGGCCCGGTGGGTCGGGATTGGTTGATTGTGCAGGTTGGCTCGGCTTTTCGTCTGTGGGAGCCCGGTAGTGTGTATCCGTTTAACAATAGGCTAGTTGACTCATGTCGAATTGTATTAAATAAATGTTTATTTCTTAAGTATTTGGTCTAAGGAACCTAAATATATCGAGTTCACTTCATAAAAGCAGAAGATTGCTGTAGAAATTTAATTTTAAGAAATATTTTTTAGTCTATATTTTTTAAACACTAAAAACGCTGTTCACCACATCCGCCATGATTGTGACGTCTCTTTCAGTAAACAACTAAATGTCATTCGCGTGTTATTGTGGGTGGATTCTTTAGTCTGAATAAATTTATCTTAAAACACTTTTAACTTTAGAAACGTTTCCGTTTATTGATTTTTTTTAACAAAAGTAATTATGGATGCCGACTTTGTGAAAGCAGAAAGCTGCCAAGAATTGACGCATTGATGGTTGGCGAATTTTTTGCACTAAACCCCGATTTCTGCTCTGCGGAGCAGAGAAACGACAAGGCATCTATGTAAGTACAGTACATTTATTATTACAATGTAGTAATAAACATAAAACTGATACAACATATGAATAAGTGTAATAAAGTTGCGTAGGTTAATTTCTTTCGGCACTTTAATCCACAACATTCCTGTTGTCTTCAAGGATGTGTTTTTATATTCTCGTACAATACAATAATGATAATTACTTTATTTTTCGTGGTATTTATAAGAAATCATGTTCTTTTTATTATAAACTCAGATAAGTTATTTTCTACGTGCTTACGAGTTTTTGTTTACTACAGTTGACATCATAGCATAGACAATCTATAGACTAAAATGGCCGACAGCGTTTTTGTATGTCCATGAAAATTCTATTTTAAAATTAAAGATTTGTAGCTTTCTAGGTCTCAAAAAAATACAATTCATTTTTTTTCGGTCTACTAGAACATTAATTAACCATTTACAACCTTTTTCCAAAAAGGGTCAACTAGCCTATTGTGCGTAGAAATTATATTTATATACATGCATTACTGGAGAAACATTGACGGGTTTTCGGGGGCGGGGGGCCGGGTCGATCTGTTTTGTTGGCTCGTTTCGATTTGCTGGGTTTTAGCTGTACAGCGCGATTTATAATTAAGGAAACTATAGGTCTGTAGTGATACAAAACTGACAATATTTTCAAATTTATATGTATGACCGTTTGTTTCTAATAAATAAATAAATAAATATGATTATCGATTCTGATTTTGGCTGCGTGCAAACATTTTAAACAAAATAAATATCTTTGATTTGAAATAGCTTTTGATTTGATACTTCTTACAGCGTTATAAAAATATAGAAATGTTGGAATGGCTGATACATCGGATTGGATATCGATATTTACCTGCCCACATTATAAATATCGATATTTCGGAAACATTTGCTTCCTCTATTATAGGTTTTTGCTTTGCAAACTAAATACAAAGCAAAAAAAAAAGAAAAAAATATCGATATATCGATAATATCGAGTTACAATGGTCGATATATCGGATATCGATATTTTCCTGACTTCGATATAAATATCGATATTTCAAAAGACTTTGCATCCCTAGTCTCCATTGTAGAGAAGAAAATGCAGACCTGGATCACTTAAATAATGACCTGCCCAATAGCGAAGTGAGTGACATTTGTGAACGGAACAAAATATGCATTCCCCGCCGCGTTCAGGAATTGCTTAGCAACTCAGATTTTTATTTACCATTATTTAATTTTATAGAAAATACTGTAGATAAAATTTAGTTTACAATAGATTATTTTTGATATTGTAAATAATTAAATAGAAATAAGTCCAAACTTCCTTTTTTAAATTTGTCATACTTTTGTTTATTAATGATTCTTAATTTTGTTCAATTTGTTTGTTTTTTTTATAATTGTTATTTTTAAATTATATCTTTATGGTGTCGATTCTGGCGTGATAGTGGTGTCAATTCTGACACGATTCTCTAAACCTAAACTTAGATTTGACAATAGTGTATCCTTGTCATTCTCTATACGGAATGAAAAGGAGAGATTGATGTTTAACTTAGTTTTAAGTTTAGAGAATCCCGCCAGAATCGATACCTCTCTAAACTTAAAACTAAATTAAACATCAGTCTCTCCTTTTCATTCCGTATAGAGAATAACAAGGATACACTGTTGTCAAATTTAAGTTTAGGTTTAGAGAATCGTGTCAGAATTGACACGTCTTTATGTATACGATTGAAGGACTTTATCCATGGTCATGAATAAATTAAAAAAAAAAAAAGAAGAAGAATAGTTTACCAAAAGTTTTTAGTATATTGGCGAAAGATACCTTCTATTGCTGTATCCTAAAAAATGAAAACTGCTTCATTGACAATAGATGGTCATGATTATGATTCTACATCTTTTATTATTGGATTACTATTAGCTGTATCTTCCAGCTTTTTTATTGGTACAAGCTTCATAATAAAAAAATTGGCACTTAAACAAACAAGCGCATCTGGTAATCTTAGAGCTTCAGCAGGAGGGTATGGATATTTGAAACAATGGATGTGGTGGACAGGACTGATAACAAGTATGTATGTGTGTTAGACTGGTAATACTTGATATTTTGTTTTGCATAAAATATTTAACCTTTAATATTTTATCATCACTTTACAGTGGGAGTAGGTGAAATGACCAATCTTTTAGCATATGCTTTTGCTCCTGCAGCACTAGTAACCCCACTAGGAGCTTTAAGTGTTATTGTGACCGCTGTCCTCTCATCTAAGTTTTTAAATGAGAAGTTGAATATTATTGGAAAGGTAATTTTTTTGCAATGACTATATATAACCTGTACCTGTATAAAGGTATAATTATGCAAATATTCTTGTATTCACAGATTGGTTGCTTCTTGTGTGTCATTGGATCTATTATTTTCATAATCCACTCACCAAAAAACGAAGAAATTAAAACATTTATGGAGCTAATTGAAAAATTGAGTGACTGCCTATTTTTGACATATGTTGCATCTGTATTTGCGATGAGTCTTGTAGTAAAAATCTTTCTGGTACCTAGATTTGGAAATACAAATATAATTGTGTATTTGTTACTGTGTTCAACAATTGGAAGTTTGACTGTAGTTTTTTGTAAAGCTGTTGCTATGGGTGTTAAGGAAACATTTGGTGGAAATTTTAACGTGTTTTCACATTATGTGTTTTGGGTATTGTTGATTACTTCAATATGTTGTATTATGGTTCAAATGAATTATTTGAACAAGTCATTAGATAGCTTTAATACCAGTATTGTTACTCCAGTCTACTATGTAATGTTTACTGTTTTAGTTATATTAGCTTCAAGTATTTTATTTAGGGAGTGGCAACATATGCCCTTTGATGACATTATTGGATGTTGTTGTGGCTTTTTAATTGTAACAACAGCAGTTTTTATATTGAACTTATTTAAAGACATACAAATATCCTTTAAAGATTTGAATTTTTATTCAAGATTGAGAAGGGGGAGCAACAGTAGCTCAGCAGAAACAGATAATTTTATACTAAGTGCAACACCAATTAGATAGTTCTGATACCTTCAATCAAACTGATTGATCAAATATTTTGTTTGCAATAGTTAATTAATATAATAAATAAAAATATTTGTTTGAATTTTATTTCATGATTATATGTATATTTACTGAAGATAAATAAAGCAGCACTTAAATTTAATTATAGTGAGGCAAATGAAATGTAGACTAAAAATGATCCCTTATACTGTGTCAGAAGCCAATGAAATCTTAAAATGCACCAGTTCCTTTAATTCTGCTTATAGTATAAGTCCAAATTATTTGAAAGGAGGTTAATTACATTAACTTGTGAATGTTTTCATATGAAAAGTTTCTAATGTAAAAAATAACAAGATTTTGAAATACAATAGCTTTTTATCATCACAAGTAAACAGTAACAGATTGATAAATAAATGTTCTACATATAGGGCATGTTCTCTGGTAGCCATATAGGCGCCTACAACATTCAGCACATAAACAAACATGACGACAAGGCAGTGTCAAAACACATTTTTGCCTTTCTTGGCATATTATACAAAGTGTGTCTGCATTGCTCTCATCATCGATCTCATTTGTGACAAAATTCACATCTTGTTCTGAAACATCTTGACCTCTTGTCATATGTGCAATCACTCTCACCTCAGAGTCCATAATGTAATTATAAACCATATAATACAGATATAAAATTTTTCTTACTAATAACCAATATATGTTTAACAGTTGAGCTATTATAGATTCTCGAAAATGTATGCATAAACGACCTATGATTATAGCACTTGTAATCCCAAGAAATGATTCCAAGGGCACATCAGTTAAAAAATTCGTGACCTTCAACAGAGCTAGGTACGCATCCACAATCCCATCAAAAATTATAATTCTAACATATCTGATAACTTCCTGCAATAATTGAGGCAGGTGAACAGGCACAAAGGTTACAATTAACCAAAATGTATTTCCACTCAACACTAAAGCACCTTTTATAAAAAAAAATATTTCAATAATCACAAGCAGTACACTGTTTATAATAGTTTTCAAAAAGTCAAATGCAACACAAAAGCCAAGTCTGGAATCTGAATAAAATATTGATATTCTTTTAAATAATGAGTGCAACTGATTCGTAAACGTTACTACGGCATCATTAACGAAGTACGGTATGTCTTCCGAGAGTAATTTTATGTTGTCTTCATAAACGATTTGCAGAAACAATATTAAACTGTCAAAGACACCACACACAGTATTGGAAATTGCCGCGAAGGTTGAAATAATAATTTTTCCAACAAATGACGCCACAAGTAGACTTTTTTGCATAAATAAAGCAAAAAAACTTAAAAGTTTCGCTATAATTGAAATCATATCTAATTTTCATGTTTTACCAATTTTTTACGGTAGGTATATCTCTGAATAAACTAATGTGTACTCAGAGCGGTATATCAACAGTGTTGCTGTTTTTTTTCACGTTTTCCCTTTTAAGGGAAGAAAGCAAAGGGAACAATGCCCATACATGCTAATTTTCAGTTTTCTTTGTATTTTTTTTTACATTAGTACAATGGTATGTTGCATTCTAATGTTTTTGGAGTGTTTGGTACGAAATGTATCGAGTCAGCTTTCTCGACTAACTTCTGTGAGGTAGTCAACACTATAATAAAGTTCTCACGTCCACTTGACCGGAAAAGCGTATATTAGATTCCACAAATTCTTCTAATGCAGACTGTTGTAACACAAAATCACACAATATTCATAGAACAAAAATTAAAGAATAATTAAAAATAGATGCCAACCGCACTCGATGAAATCCCGCTAAAACTCCACAGCATATAATAGGCTAGTTTACTCATGTCGAATTGTATTAAATAAATGTTTATTTCTTAAAGTATTTAGTCTAAGGAACCTTAATATATCGATTTCACTTCATAAAAGCAGAAGATGGCTGTAGAAATTTAATTTAAAAAAATATTTTTTAGTCTATATTTTTTAAACACTAAAAATGCTGTTCGCCACATCCGCCATGATTTTGACGTCTCTTGTGGTAAACAACTAAATGTCATTCGCGTGTTACTGAAGGTGGATTCTTTCGTCTGACTAAATTTCTTAGTGTTGAAACCCCCTTAGAATTTCGCCGACAGTATCTATCAGATAAATTTCTCTTCAAAATCTACCAACTTATGTCACATCCTCTAATTCCAAAACTTCATCTACTACACCAACTGGCCCCTACAAATGAATACTGGTCCCATAAAGACCTGCCTTGTCTGCTGATTAGCTACAGAAAACTAATAAACGTCCCATCTCCTGTGTACCAATGTAGACTGAACCCTCTATTTGAAACCCCTTATGAAGCTCTAATTTATGAACCAGAAGTAATTTTAAATTTGGGCATAGAAAAACATTCCTTAGATGCACAAGTTAGGTTGAACCAGATAATCTCTGAGAAATGGGCCGACTGGTTTACAATATCATCATCATACAGATGCATCAAAATTATCTGGAGAAAGTCATGTTGGATCTGCAGTCTGGATCCCTAAATATAATATAATTTTAAACTTCAAATGTCCTCCTGTTTGCTCAATCTTCACAGGTGAGGCCATTGCCATATTAGAAGCTCTTAAATTTGCTGAATCCCACAAACTTAATAAAGTAGTATTATTCTCTGACTCAAAGAGCTGTTTACAAGCTATCCGTTCTAATCAATTTAAATGTAGATTTAAATTTCAATTCATTTTAAAAATCAAGACTCTTCTATTAGATTGTCGTCGGCAAGGGCTACAGTTTGTTCTGGTGTGGATTCCGAGTCACACAGGTATCAGCGGCAATGAGACAGCAGATGCATGCGCCAAGCAAGCTACGGTCAGTGGCTCTCTCACACACAATGGCATATATCCCAATGATCTAGCCTCCATAGCAAGGACGAATTTGTTATTGGAATGGTCTAAAGACTGGAAAAAAACTAGCAAGACAAAAGGCTTACATTACGCTAATGTACAACCGGACATTCCATGCGTCCCTTGGTATTTCCGAACTCGCAATTTTAAAAAACGAGTTATCTCCACCGTATCCAGACTTAGACTCGGACACGTATGCACGCCTGTATTTTTGGCCAAGATCAGGGTCAAGGATAGCTCCCTATGCGAATGTGGCCTCGACGAGGGTACCACAGATCACATTTTTTTCAACTGCCCTAGAAACTCTCCCTCATTATATACGTTACTTCCTACGTCTATCCCTCGCCCCGCTAATTTTAAAACCGTATTATTATTTGTCTACTCGGATTTTGTGAATGTCCTGTGTGCATATATTGACAATAATAACATTAAATTGTAGCTAGTAAGTAGATTATCGCCGCTTCATGCCCTTACAAAAAGCTTTAATTGTTTCAGGTATCTCAACATCCTCATACTTTAAATTCTCTTCCTACACTGTTCGGTTTCAGTCACTCGTCGTCCTTGCACCTGCACAACACCTTTAAGCAGAGTTATTAAATTTCATTTATAAATATACCGAACAAGCATAGAATAGACAATCCCTACTACATACACTAGTCATTGGCTTAATCTTTAAGGAGCCATTAAAGAAGAAATTGAATTGAATTGAATTTATCTTAAAACACTTTTAACTTTAGGAAAGAAAAAAACAGTTTTTTGACAAAACTAATTATGGATGCCGGCTTTGTGAAAGCAGAAAGCACAAATCTGCCAAGAATTGACGCATTGATGGTTGGTGAATTTGTTGCACTAAACCCCGATTTCTGCTCTGCGGAGCAGAGAAACGACAAGGCATCTATGTAAGTACAGTGCATTTAGTATTACAATGTAGTAATAAACATAACACTGATACAACATATGAATAAGTGTAATAAAGTTGCGTAGGTTAATTTCTTTCGGCACTTTAATCCACAACTTTCCTGGAGTTTTCAAGGATGTCTTTTTATATTCTCGTACAATACAGTAATGATAATTACTTTATTATTCGTGGTATTTATTAGTAATCATGTTTTTTTTTATTATAAATTATATGACGACCTCCGTGGCCGAGTGGTTTGTACGCCGGGTTTCATGGCTGTCGCCGACTCGAGAGGTCCCGGGTTCGAATCCCGGTGGGGGCAGATGTTTGTGTGATGAATACGAGCATTTACTGTACTCCAGTCATGAATGTTTAATATGTATTTATATAAATATACTTATATATGTACAGTATATGTATTCTATCCGTTACCCTAGCATCCCATAACACAAGCCTTATAGTGCTTACTTTGGGGTTAGGCTAATTGGTGTGAGTGTCGGAAATATTTATTTATTTATAAACTCAGTTAAAAGTAATTTTCTACGTGTTTACGAGTTTTTGTTTACCACAGTTCACGTCATAGCATAGATAATCTATAGACTAAAATGGCCGACAGCGTTTTTGTATGTCCATGAAAAGTCTATTTTAAAATTAAAGATTTGTAGCTTTCTAGGTTTAAAAAAAATACAATACATTTTTTTTCGGTCTAATAGAACATTAATTAACCATTTATAACCTTTTTCCAAAAAGGGTCAACTAGCCTATTTTCAGTGTCGCTGACCTGATTGTTGTCCATAGACATATCTGCAAAGATATAAATCGTTGTGGTAATGTATCCGTAGCTGTCAAATATGCCGTCATATTAAATTAAAAAAATAAATCCGGGCGCGGGAAAGCTTGAAAGTTAAAGGCGGTCTTTTGCGAAATTAAAATATTTTTTATATTTTATTGTTATAAAACACTTAAAGTTGTCTGAAGAATACTGTTTCAACTCTGCTGACATGGGCAGAGTTAAATCTAAAAAGCGGAAACGAAAACCTGGTGGTGGTGGGGATAATCCTGTCGACGAAGATGCTGCTTCGAGCTCCGGTTCTACATCTTCCGAAAATTTTTCTGGATTCGACGAAATAGATCAAGAATCTCCTACAGTGAAGTACAAACCCTTTATATTACCGCATTATGTCCGGTCCTACTCAGAAAACGCAGGTGGTACAGAATTCATAGTTTTAATATCAAGTACTGATGATGCTAGACCAGTAGGCAATAGAGACCTTATGTATCTGTCCAACATATTCCAAAGAAATATGAAGGGGATTAAACAATTTAAAAGAATTAATAAATTCAAGTTTGGAATTATTTTTGACAAACCAACTATGGCTAATGCAGCACTCCAGAATTTTTTCAAACAGCACAGATTACAAGCCAGTATTCCAGCTTCTGCATCTGAACAAATTGGGGTAATATCGTTATTACCCCAATTTGCGCTCGTGCGTACCTATTGATTATAGCAATGCTAAATTATATAAACATTTAACTTGTTCAAAAAAAAATAAATCTATTCGTAGGTTTATGCGTAGAGTAAAGAACGATAGTGGCGCAACTACATTGCAACCAACGCAAACAATCTCAATTACATTCGCATCAACCACATTGCCAGAATCAGTAGAATTAAACTCATGGCTTTTTCCCGTGAAAAAATATGTTCCTCCAATAAAACAATGCTTTAATTGTTTATTATATGGTCATACAGCTGCATTTTGCAAAAATGCCACAAAATGCTCGAAATGTGCAGGTAGTCATAACTATAGAGACTGTGATAGTCAAATACTTATCTGCTTTCATTGCAAAGGTAGCCATATAGCCAATAGTAACTGTCCTATAAAAAAGCAAAAAAATATTGAAAATAAAAGAAAAATTAATAATCCAGTAAAATATATATACATCTTAAATACTAAGCAGTTTCCTGCATTACATATTAAAAAACAAAATGACAATGAAAATGACTTCACCAAATTGTTGATAAATGACCATATTGTAAATATTCTTGTACAAAGTCTAATTAAAATTAAGGCAAGCGGTGTAACAAATTCCAGTAACATTAAAGAAGCTCTTAGAGAAGTAGTAACATCATACAAAATTAAATAATGGCTTTAAGAGTTATCCAGTGGAATGCTCAGAGCATATTATGCAATAAAAATTGTCTTACTCATTTTTTATATGAACAAGACATTCATGTAGTATTATTATGTGAAACATGGTTGAGACCCGAATTAAATTTTACTATAAGAGGCTACACAGTAGCCAGGTTGGACTCTGGTAATAGACACAATGGTGTTGCAATTGTCATTAGAAATGATATCCCCTTTCAGACAATAGATACTACATTTGATAACTCTATTCAAAACATAGCTATTCAAGTAAGATTCCTTATTACAGATCTTTACATAGTAAGTATTTATTGTCCTCATTATAGTACACCTAGTTTTTGTAAAAATAAATTAGATAATTTAATAAAGCTGATCCCTGAGCCAATGATAGTTGCTGGTGATTTTAATGCCCACAATACCTTGTGGGGGTGCCACTCAACTGATAACCGTGGTAGAGACATTAGTGAAATAGTTGAAAACAATGATTTATTTCTATTAAATGAT